AGAAAGAAAGAAAGAAAGAAAGAAAGAAAGAAAGAAAGAAAGAAAGAAAGAAAGACAGACAAATTGTGATTACCAACTGGTTATCTCCATAACAGCCTCTGGGGCCAGAAATGCAGCAAATTCTTCCAGGCATCTTCAGGAGCTCCTGTGGAACAGTGATATGATTGGAGCTGTTTTCACTTTGATTACTGGATGTTGCTCACACTGTTCATCCAATACAAAGCAATGTGGGAGCTCTAAGCATCAAGATCCCACTCAGTTTCAGAAATTACAGAAAAGGAGATAGAAAGCAGCAAAAGCAGAAAGAAAAAAGGAAATGCCAGCAGGCCAGCCTAGTCATTTAGAGCGGCACAAAGAAAACAAGAAAAGAGAAAGAGGGCATTAAATGGGTAATATTAAGTAATGCCATTATGTCCAAATATTTGAAATGTTGGCTTCCATGCACGTGGCCAAGTCATGTTTCCTATTACAGGATAATGGCAGGGCACAACCCCTGATTCAGCTGCAGTTCATTCTGGCTCTTTTCACCACTGAAATACTTCTGTGGCAGTTCTGCAAATTCCACTGTCCAAGTTTTCACACTTCCAGGAGAGGCTGAAATGGCATCCCTTGAAATTTACAAAATGTCATTTTAAAAGTACTCCTCACCCTATGCTGCTCTTTTAATTTAGAGACTCTGAAAAGGGATGAAGATATTTAAATTCCTAAAGGGTTATTCTCATAACATTTTCAAGAAAGTCAAGAATTTCAGAAACCCTGCTACACCTGTGTACACTTTTCACTGTACCCATCACATGGCTTTTAAGCACTTCCAAAGCTCTTGAATACTTTGTTACCTCAGTAAGCCTCCTGTACACTTATCTTTTGAAAATTAGAGGCCAAACCTTTTGAGAGTTAATTCTTGCTAAAGAAACTTCTGTCACACAAATCCTAGACCTGACAGATGCAGGTTCACCAAGCAGCCCTCGTGACTGTGTGTAAACAAGTGATACACAACATTATCACCAGGACTTGGTATTTGACTGCAGCCCTTATTGGCCTGTGAATTTCACCACAAAGAACAGTTGTTCGGGTTGTTGGTTTTTTTAAATAGATATGTATGAGGCTACAGGTTCCTGAATTCATAAATTGTAAACTATATTAAATACACTGAAAATTGACTGATGATGACTGCTGCTCTTCTAGGCTAATTTTTCTTCTAAACCATGATATGAAAATTCTGGCTAATGGGCTCATGACAAGACTAAACAGGGGTAATAGCCGACTTAATCAAGAAAACAAATGAGATTCATTAAAAGCTGGCACTCAGCAGATAATCTTTGGAGAGTTCTAACCTCAATCTACGTGTCCCCATCAAAAATGAAGAAAAAAAAAAAGAAATTTTCAGCTGATTTTATCTTGGACTGTTGAGCCAATTCAATGGAAATTCATAATGGAAAAACATTAGACATGGTTCTCCTTCCAACTCTTTTTGTACTCTATCACAGAAGTCACAGTAAAGCATTAACTAGAACTTTCTTCATGCACTTGAGAAGACAAATTAGATATAGTTTTCACAACTGCCTCTAACAGGTAATTTAAGATAATGTTGCAGTGCTAGAACCATTTCATGGCAAATACACAGACACATATATATATATCTCATACACATACATGTCTTCCATATGTATGTATGATATACAAAGCCTTTATATCTGTAGATAGGTTGAGCACAAATACACTCACATACCTGTCCTGCATTGTGCACTTTTACAAGCTGAAAGGCTGGAGATGGAAGCCAAATGATACTCCAAACTTCAGAAATACTCTATCTACAATGAATGAAGCCAATTCCCTAAATATAACCATCTTCAAATTTCAGTTATAATTCTGCAGTTCAGCCACCCATAAAAAGGAAGAAAACTAAGAGTTGGTTATTACTCCCCTCCAACAAGCTACTATCTTGTTAAAAGATGCACAAAATTACCAGATAAATAAGTATCTAAGTATTTCTTTAGCCAATATATTATCAAAAAGAAGTAGTAAAATAACTCCTGAATTGCAAGGAATACATGTCCAGCCATGATCTACTTTGAATTTAAGAGCAAGAAAAAATAATTATGTTTCAGATTTACTTTTTATTCATTTACTTAGAAATGTAAATGCATGGTAAGTACTATCCCTGACAACTATGTAACCTACCTGAGCTCTCTAGGGGCCAAATGAAGATCTCACTAATGCATCAAAGTCTTCTTATGGTTGGAGAATATTTGGGTTCAGGAACTGGTAAATAAATATATTCAATCTGTTTTGTAATTCCCCTGCTTTGCAATGACACGTTTGTTTTTGCTAGCAGCTCAAGTACCACTGTTAAAATCCAGGATTAGCTACCTTCTCTTCCTGCACTGGCACACAGTTTATTTGCTCTCATTTAGTTCACTATGTTCTGTAAAAGCTTATTTACTCTCACTACCACCTCCTAATTACTTTAGGGAAGTCACATTGTTTTGTCATTATGCTCTTCTAGCTCTGTTCTGAGCAGGACATATTTTCTGTTAAAGTGTCCAAATTCTTTTCAGGTGGCTGCAGCCCTTGCAGCATGTGGCCTTACACAGTGTCTAAATTTGCTAAGGCAATTTGAGCATTATCAGTCTGCTAATTAATGCCCTATAATAATTCTGACCTTTAAAACTTGTCTTCTAGCACTGCTGTTTCACAGGCCTGCTGTGCATATACTTTTCCTTTTTTGTTTTGGTTTTTTTTAAATTTTTCCACCTACATCTTCTGCTCTCAGAGATGTCGCAGCTCACTTAAGTGTTGCTGACAGAGCTTGGAAATAGCCCTGTTAAAATTTTGAGGTTTGGTTTGAGGGTTGGGTGTTTTTTCCCTCCATTTGCTTTGAAGGCTTGATTATCTCAGCTATTCTTGCAGAAAACATTCAGAAAGAGGAGCTTTTCCATTTTGAGAGTGTGCTGCAAGCTGGCTCCTTGGCAAGCCACATCCACACACAAGCCCTTTCCCTCCAAGTCAGTAGGTCCAAATACATGCAGATCAAGGGCAAAAAAGGGAATGAGCACCTGAAAGCTGTGGGTGAGCAACAGAGAATCTGTGCTTGAGCTCATTTGGTGCACAAGAACTGCTGCTAATACCCCCAGCTTTCAGGGATGGCCTCGATGCACAGATTCAGGAGACATTTATGGGACACAGAGGGTGCTCCAGCTCTGAGACAACCCTTCTGCTTCTGTGACCATACATGCAACCCTTCTGTGGATTCTGCTCTTGACTATCCCTTCCCTGATGAATATTAACAATATGGGGGGGGCTGCAAAAGATTTATTACTTAAGAATATAATGAGAAACTTTCTTTGCAGTAGAGTTGTTTGGGGGGATACAGATGTGCACCCCACAGCTCATGCTCCTGCAATTACAAAGATATCTGATAACACAACCAGCCCTATGAGAAACCTTTGTATACTTTTGGGATTAATGCAGGAAAGGGAAACAATGCGCCAAGTGGGAAACCACAGTAAGAGCAGTGACTGTGATCCCAGCAGAGGAAAGGCTGTGCTTACACCTTACTTCCCTTCCCAACACTCACACTGAAAAAGAGGGTCCAGAATAATAATCTGCCTTTCTTGGCAGGTCTGTAGGCAGCCCAGGGAAACACAAGCACTAGAAGAGTGAAGGGACTTGCTGAGGGTGGGAAGAGCTGGTGTCTCAGAGCTGAGGGGTGGCAGCAGGCACCAGTGCCACGGTGCCAGAGCTGAGCCCTGTGGCACACCCAGACAGGACCCTGGCACAGGGCCTGCCCCAGCAGGGTCAGGACCAGGAACCTGCTAGCAGCCTTCAGGCCCTGTTGTGCCCATCAAACAACATTTCTCCCTACAATCACCAGCTGTGTTGAGATCTTTCCAAACAACAGAACAGCTGGAGCCAAAGCTTTCATATATTGCAGAAAAAGAAGCAGGGGAGACTGGGATAAGGGACAAGGATGCGAGGGAAAATGACTGTTTAAGAAAAAAAAAATACAAAACATATGCCATCCCATTGATGAAGTTTTGTATGCATTCATGTTGGCAAGGTCACAAACTTGAAAAGAGATGCAAACTTTGTTACAAAAGTAATAGCAGAGATTTTTTTAAAACCTCCAAAACCACAGTGAGGATTTTCTCAGAGTCCTGCAAAGCCATCCTTTATGAACCCAACATCAGGGGTTTCCTGTTATGCAGTTACAAAAGCAGTGGGGATTTTCAAGGGTTTTGCTTGTCACACCACCAGGATTCAGTGAATTTTCTGAGGCATGTTTTGCAGCTGTCAGATATCTGTATCTCTATGACACAGCACAAAACAGAGAAGAGCTGTCCATAAGAGAGAGCTACAACTGTATTCACCGGAGAACAGAGAGGGCATGTGAACAAAAAGAAAAATATTCCAAAACATGTCACTGGAAAAGACAGCAAAGGATATTGACCTTTCTGTAGTTTCACTAAGGATGTCAACATCTTATCAAAGCTTAAGGAACAGAAACAGTCCCTTCATACTCCCGAGGTATTCTATGCTTTTGTTACCCATCATGAGCACACTTATTTAAAACCACAATGAATGGGAACATGCATACACATGTCACACATCAAACTTTACCTGGACAGGTTTTCTGGGAGGTTGTAAAGACTTCCTTGCTCCAAAGTTCTTTGGTATAGGTGCAAAATGCCTCTATCAGATAGAGTCAATAAACATCATTATCAAGACATTGTATGGGCAGAAAAAAAATCTTGTCACAGAAATATCAAGATAGGAAAGATGGTACTGACAGAGAGACACTGCATTGGCAAAACTGCCTTGGGCTGATTCCAGGAGATACACAAGAGGTATTTTACCCAGTTCCATCAATACACAACACAGCATACTCAGGAGGAAGAGCAGAGAGCACTGGCTGTAACACTCAGCCACTGAATGCAATCAGACCTCTGATAATCAGACACTTGTTCTGTTCATTGGCTACAGGAGACAAAGTAAATAAATATGTGAAACTCAAATAACAGAAAAGGTAAAATCAATATGAGAAATACCAGGAACTGAGAAGACAAAAATGCTGAAGTTCTGACCTTGACCAATGTGTCTCCCGCCATGGGCTGCATTTACCAATGAAAAATCTCTGCACTCACAAATCCCAGACCTTCAGACTCTCAGATCCTCTGGTTTCCAGAACATTTCTGTTTTAATCAGTTTGCACTGCAAAGCTGCCTGGCCAGTTGTGAGCCCTTGCTAGCACTCACAACGAGGTGCCACAATGATCAGCCATGTGAAGGGGCTCTACAATTGCACAAAGCCACAGAGTGGGAACAACAAAGAGCACACTCAGCTACCAGGAGTTCCTGCTGTAAGGTGCAAGAGAGACACAGGTCAAAAAGAGCCCTGCAAAGTACAGAATGTGCCAAGCTTTGGACTGCTGGCTTCATGGAAGGAAGAGGAAGAAGATTTTCTGCACCCCAGGCAAAACCAGCACACAAGGCCCAAGACTGCAGCTAGGATGGATCATAATTGCTGCTGCTGACTCTCCATCTACAAACAGGCCACAGATAGTAACACAGATGATTAAGAGCAAACACCTAGACTATTCTAGAGAATGAATGTTGATATCAGAAGCACAAAGATTTTCTACCTTGCTGCTTTGGAGAAATATGGGGTAGAACATAAAACTGATCCTGCTCACTTTCTGTGAGCAGCTTTGATCTCCTGCATAGGTCTACCACCTACATTAACAGGTGTATTCACAAATACTAGCAGTTATCAAACACAACTCCCCCCAAAACATCTAAATGTAGCAAGAAAAAAAATAAAATTCACTATTTGAACCTGAATCTCTCAGTTGGTCTGCAGTGTCTTGGTTTTGGAGGCAGGATTGGAAATCCTACTACATACCACTGAGACAGAAGTCAGTGCATGAAATACAGTGGGGTTTGTGGGAGCCACAAAGTGAAGTGTTTAGCCACATTTTTTCCAGACCATGGGAACAGCAGAGTGCTGAAACCATAAGAAAAGGGGACTGCAGCCAACAAGTTGTCATCTGAAGCCAGGGCTAATCTGCCTGTGCTCCTGTGCCCCTGTGGCAATGGGTCCCTGGCTGCTGCTCCCCTCCACACTGGCAGGAGGTGCCCCTTGCCCTCATTGCTCAGCTGTCCTTCAGTGACAGAGGTGGGTGGTGTGGTCTGCTGCTCCCCAGCAAAGCTTTAGTAAATTATTAATTTTATCTGCCTTCAGTTTTCTACCTTTGGACACCCTGATAGCTTAAATAAGTATATCCCAAGGCTCTCTTGAGAAAGAAGAGAGGCTGGAGGGAAGCACAGCTTTGCAAACACTCCCCTGGTTTTCCTGCCTGTTGAAAGGGTGGGGGATGAAGGAGGAGAAAGAGATGAAGTTGTCCTTTGACATTTTACATCCATGCCTTACTGAGATAACCTTTACGGATAATTTTTCCCAGCAGGTGTTAGATATTTCTTGTGAGCATTTAACAGTGAAACATCATTAAGTAATGACTGGCAATAGAAATTTGTTACAAAAATTTTAGAGGGGTGGAACTAAGACAAATTAACCGTAGGATTTTAAATACAAAGACAACAAGTTCTCTTTGTAGTAATCCTATTAGTGTGGGTATCCTTTATAGCATACTTGAAAGCAGATTCACTTGGGCTGAACTTACTGTAATGCATTCAAGATGCCCTTTCTCCAACTTTAAGAGAGAAGCAACTGCAAGCAATTACTATTAAAAATATTTTAAGGATATGAAACCATTCCTTCCTGTTTCACAAGATGTTTTTCCAGCAAGACCAATTTTTTCATCTTTTTTTCATCAATTCAAATAATAGAGCTAATGTTATAATTTCATAAATTCTAGCATCACGAAGAACAAATACAACTTCTGTATTTTAAAGGTTTACTTGTTGACCTCAGAACACTGACAGCTCAAAAAGTGTGTGTTGTGGAAGGGTGTTGTTTGGAGTTTTTTTCAAAAAAGTTGTCACCAAAGAGGCAAATTTGCACACACATGGAGCTGCTGAGTTCCTCCCAGAGCAGAGTGGTGGCCCACGCTGCCCTCAGCGTGGCACCCTGAGAGCAGAGCAGAGCAAAGCAGCTCTCACAGTCATTACCAGTGGATGGAAACCTGTGCTCTAATAGCTGCAGGGTTTTTCATTTTCTGGGGGGGAAGGCCCAGCCTTGCTCCACACCTACCCTTCATGGTCACCCCTCACTGCCCAGCTTATTTTCCTTTCCCTCCTCTTTTGATTGCACTAGTGCTTTCTCAGGGCCCCCTTTTCATCCCTCCTGTGCCAGCCTGGCCAGGCCCTGTGCTGCCCTGGCATGTCCCCTGTCCTTCTGCCCTTTGGAGCAGGAGCTGACTGCCCTGGCATGTCCCCTGTCTTGCTGCCCCTTGAGCAGGAGCTGAATGCCCTGGCATGTCCCTTATCCTACTGCCCCTTGAGCAGGAGCTGTGCTGCCCTGGCATGTCCCCTGTCCTGCTGCCCCTTGAGCAGGAGCTGACTGCCCTGGCAGGGCAGCCTGACCCATCACCAGCTCTCACCCGTGCATTCCTGCTCAGGTGCCAGGCAAGTCTGTCAGCACCCTGCAATGCTGTGGAGCTCCTGAGCTGCTGCTATACAGTGTTTTGTTTTATAATGGCTCCATTTCACACTCCAATGCAGCTGACTTACCCTACTGTATTTCACTCTTCTTAATTAGATTTTGCTCGTTACTCCTGAGCCCCTCCAAAGCCGAAGAAGCACAGAGCCATGGCTGCTCTCTGTGCTAACACAGCCCCAGGGGCTGAATCCTGTGCTGCACCCACACAAGCTGGAAGAAAGAAAAGTGTGTTTTATGCCAACCAGAAGGTGTGCAGCCGAGGAGCCCGGTAAAGCAACAGCCAGGGGCACTGGGAAAGGCAAACACTCACTCAGCTGCTGCACATGTGTGTCCCTTGGTCTCCATGCCTGTCCCACACGCCAGGTACCCCACCCTGCCCCTCCACATCCCCTCCCATCTCCTCTTCCCCCTCCTGCTCTCCACTCACTCTGAATATAGGGGAGTATTTTTTAGAGGAGTGAATTATCTGATAGTTATCTCTGACTCCAAGGGCTCTCGGTGCAATATACAGCTCCTGAAGCCCCTGGACTTGCAGGAATTTATAGCAGTAGATTGACAGTAAGTTTTTTCTGCAGGTTGTTTATATTATTGTAAGCTGCTTAGGAGGAAAGCTTTAACAGAACACTAGATAAAAAGAAAATGGGTTTTAAAACCTCCAGTCACTCTTCTTTCTTAACTTGTTCTTGAACAAATAAATGTGAGCCCTGGGAAAATACCTGAAGGCACTTTCACAGGAAACTAGCACAGAACATAGCAGAATGCAATGGGCAAAACATCCTCTGCTCAGCATTTGGCAACAAAAAACCCCACTGAAAACCTGGGGGAAGAGCAGGACCTGGGCAGTGAGGTCAGACTGTGAATGCAGGCACTCGGGTATGTGAATAAATAAATGGGCCTTGCTTTTTCTACCAGTAGGATCCCATATCCTGCAGTATCACGTATCTTAATAGCTATTGATTTCTTTCTATATTCTGCCCACAGCTAGAGCAAAATTTCATTCAAATGAAAAACTCATGAACATGCTGGCAGTTATCTTGGGTGAAGGAAAGACAAAGGGCTAGGAAACAGAACATTAAACAGAATATTCCTTTTAGCATTACACAGAGGTCCCATTCAGCAGAGAAGGACCTTCAGCAATCCCAATGAAAATTATTTCAGACTAAGGACAGAAATAGAAGAGTTGCCTCTCATCTGCAGCAATACTGAACTGACACCTTTTAGGAGACAATTGCACATCTTCCCATCACTTAATACATCCTTATCTGCCCCAAGAGCTTGCCCTGTTGAGAGAAGGGCAGCACAAAAAGAAACAAAATCTCCCAGGTGGTGCCATCTGGCAGCTTGTGCTGATGCCTTCCCCCATCATCCCAGCAGAGGAGGAGTTCAGAGCCCAGGGGAGGGGTCTCTCTGACCACCAGACCAGGAAGTCCAATGGAAACCTGGGGGGGGCTGTCAGGACAAAACCAGGATCATTGCTTGGGATTCATGGCAGTCCAAGGGAGCTGAAACCTTCATGTGAAGAGAAATGAGAATCAAGTAGTGACTCAGCCTGTCCCACTGGATGATACCAAAGAATCAAGCAGTCTGAATAAACAATCTCAATCCTGTGGTTCTCAAGTGCTGAACACTGGGGAAAAGCGATTTTCTCTGTCAGCACTGCTGGTTAATAGGGGCAGACCAAACAGGCTTACTTTTAAGTGCCTGTCTTCAGTGTCGAGAACAAAGGTTTTCTCCAGGCAGGGAGAAGATATCAGTTGGTCTAAGTGAAGTCTCAGCAGGAAGTTTCCCTGCAAAATACAGAATTTAAATCATTTATTTGCATTTCTTGTATTTAAACAGGATACTAAGAGAGAGAAAGAAAGAGAAACCTTGCAAGAGCAGGCAGCTTCCTTGGAATTACAAACACAACAGTGAAAGGGCAGCTGAGTTCCTGTGCAAAACATGGTATAAAGCCTGGCAATTCTCAGTGGTAAAAATAACTCAGAGCAAAGTCACAACTCACAGCAAACTGAGCAGCAACAATTCAGAGTTTACTCAATAAAACAGCACATTTATCTAGTATATTCTCTAATATCTTAGCATATTAGTTACTGTGCAAAAGGAGCACAAAATGTACAATGGAGATGGAGATGCAGGGAGCCAAAGAGGGACTTGGGCTGGAAGGGAAAGCTATTGCAAATGCAAGAGAAGACAAAGCTTTTCATCCTGCTACGCTGCCTTGCCCAGCTGGAGAATTGGAGGTTTGGTATCTGTGGTATCAAAGCATGTTTTTTAGGTAGAGGCAGAAGTGGCTAAGGAGCCACAAGAAAAGGGAAGGGATCTTGTGTTGCTGGAGCTCATTTCTATAGATGTAGCCCACAAATACAGAACTGGAGGTTGGAATTACAGTTCCATGATGATGTAGTTAGCAGGGATAGGTGAACAGACGGGTTAATTGCAACAGTTTTGATTTCTGCAGAAGAGGCAGATAACCCTCAAAGAGCCATTGATCCCTATCATACTGACACCTATCCACTCCAGCTCCATCTCTGAGTCCTGCTGTCAGAGCATGGGAGTGAGATCCCTTCCTTCAAAGCAACAGCACAAAGAGGGAATCACTGCTTCTGGGCAGGTGGGAGGTGAATTGCTGTGTCCTGGGACGAGTATCTTCTCAGGCACCCTGCAGCCTCCAGGATCAAAGAGGAGGCATCAGGGGAGTCAGTGGCTGTTTTCCCTGGCTTTGCCTTTTGTGCTGTGTGTGAGAACAAACTTCTGACACCTGTACGGGCACAGATGGCTCCATGCTTTCTTCAGCAGGAGCCTGAAGAAGTACCTGAAAATAGACTGACCTTTAGATTATACACAGCCAACCTGCCTGCTCTTTTAGCTGCTGCTGTTGAGTTTTCCCAAGCAATCTCTAAACATAAAATAGGAGTGATTTTAAAAGAAAATGGGTTCATCAGGTCAGTGGTAGTGTAATTCCGGAAAGGGTATGAAAGTGAGGAAGTAATGATAATGCACGAATTGAAGGGCTGATATAATTTGCCACAGCTGCACTGAGGTAAGAAATTGTAAATAAAACTTCCTGTCTGGCTGGAACATAATGAGTTCTCTACCTTTTAACAGTGCCTGCAAAATAAATTAAAAGAAAACACATACTGCCTTCCTTCACTTGCAGATAGTATCTATTTATTAAGGTAAAAGGAACAGTGACAGAGAATACTGCTTCTGCACAACAATACTTGCATTGACTCCAAAGTCCTGGCCACTGCCCAGAGATAAAGAAAGTAGGGGGAATGATACTGGCATGAGAATAAAGTGATCTGAAACTTCCACTGACAGTAAAATAGGGAGAGTAATGGGCAGTGGAGGCTTGTCCCTAAGCTTCATGTAGCCTTTCTTGTGCTGGAAGGAACAGTGATTCTTCCCTGGGATTTTAGGGAGGGAGAGGACATTTGAAGGCAATGACTGTTTCTGTGAGAGAGGTAGCATTAGTGGTGGTTAACTGCAGCCACTGCTTTTATAACTTCTTAGTGCTTCAGTACAGACACTGCCCTGGCTGCTCTGAAATTTCAGACTGGAGCTGCAAGTGCAGGAAGCCCAAGAACAGGAAGGGAACAGCAGTGCAAAAAGAGTGATGTGAGTAGGACTCCCAATAAAATGTCCATAACCAAAAGGGGTGGAGCTGAACAAGCTCACTAAAGGGCACGCAACAGCTGAGTTTCTGAATGCACAATCACTAGACAATACTTCTTGTAAAACTGTGTGAAGATATCCTTTTACCTAGCTGGTGGTTCAGATGTCCCACCAAGTTTCTGTGAACAGAGATATGGCTAAAAGCAAGCAAACAAGGCAAGAAAAAAAGGAAGGAGGAAAGAAAAGACTTTTACCTGCACACAACAGGACTCTGCACAGTTACTTCTCATTCCCTTAAACCTCACCACAGGCAGGGACCCTATGTCAACCGACTGATGAAGGCCTCTGTGAACTATACATTTCCATTTCTTATCTAGAGAACAAAATGGAAACTATGGTAACAGAGAGAGGCCTGATAAAGTCCATCAAAGCCTGAGAAGGAAACTCAGTCTCCCTCTGCCTGGAGCCTGTGACCTCGCTGCTAAGGCTCCCGAGCAGAGGGGCACTCCCTGTGACAGTCTGCTGGGATATAAATAACTCTCACACAGACAAAACCACTGCACAACTGCTGCTGATTCTCACCCGTGCTCTGCTTGGTCTCCTGGCTGGAAGGCATGGAGGCATCCCTCATTTCAGGGTGTATCTCTTTAAAGGAAACATCGCTTAAGCTCTTATCCAGAAACTGAATAATGAAAAGCATTGGAATTTGGATTGGTAATTTTAGCTCAACCTGCTACATTTATCTTAATCCATATTTATATAAAACACATCTGGAAATTGTGGCACTGTTGTAATTTATAACTTCATGTAAAATACATTTAAAATACAGAGAACGTTTCTGAATATACTGCTTTTATAGACAAACATAATTTCAAATTTTAAAGATTTTCTATCTTCTGAAGAAACAGACAGAAATTTAAAATATAGAATAGGAAACTTTTCTCCTAGAAAGTATAACAGTTTTTTATAATGCACTCAAAGGCAATTTACTTGACATGACTTAAAAAGTGAAGCTCATTTTTACAGTGTAGGGGGTTTTTTTGCAGCATGGTAGAATTCCTGTATGCCTGACAGCACAAAGAATAGTGTGTGAAATACCATGTGGATTTAAAGTGACCAAAAGCAGAGGCTAGTTTATAATTATCATTGCTATAGAACACATATTGTTGTTGGGGAGGCCTGGAGCAGGGTGTCTTAGCCTCAGAAGAGAAAATAGGCCATTTATGTCAATGAGAAAAGGATGCATCTTGGCTCGCTTTGTTTTCCCTCAGCTAGTAACAAACTGCATCCTGAGTCTAAAAGCAGAAAACCTGGTGAGGTCAGCTGTATTTCTGCCATTTGTCTTTCCAGGCTGATTTTAAACTCAGTCTTCAAGTGTTACAAGGAGATTCTCATTAAAAAAAAAAAAAAAAAAAAAAAAAAAAAGAAAAACAACAAGAATACAGCATGGCAGAATACTGGAGAAAGAGTGTCCTTCTTCCTAGAGGCAAGGACTGGGCTTGCCTCTAGGATTCATCTGGATCCTGGCTCCTGGGGGAACCATGAGGAAGCAAGCCTGGGACAAAGCCCCTGCCCTCAAGGAAAATGAAAGAAAGTACTGTTTGAATTGTCTACATAAAAACGCTTAAAAACATACTCCCTTTTGGTATCAGTTGGGCATATGTGATGAATGTAACAAAGACTGAGAGATACAACTTTCAGTACAAACCTAGCATCATCACTTGGAAGATATTCCTAAGTGACAGACTCTGAAATGGAAGAAAAAAGGGAACATCAGAATCATTTAAGAGTAGCAAACAAAATGATAAACAGTGGTTTTGTCATGCATTTACAATATAGCCACAGCTCTGGAATTTTCAGTGCTAGTGTTGCAGAAAGGAAGTTATTGGCCAGGTGCAATCTGAATTCTAGTTTCAAATTATTCCAGAACCTGTCCTCTGGAATGTCAGATAACTAATACACTACTAGATGTCTTTGTCACAGCAGCAGCACAATCAGCCTTTGGCCAGATTTTTTCTTAGAAACTGTCACAGAATTCGCTTCATTCTAGTTACCAGTATCCTAATTCTGGACCTCAGAGGATTTCTAAAACCACCATGCAAAATGAACATATGGATTAATTGCAGAAAGAATAGATACTATCACTTACCTCTGGAAAATAATCAATATTGCAGAAAAGGCTTGTAAGCAGAATTAAAAGGAGAGGTAATTTTCTTTAATTGGTTTTGAGCTATTACACATTCCCGATTTTCATTAGTACTTTTTGCCTGCCTGGATCATGCATATAAGGGGAGAAAAGGATATATATAAAACCAGCTCAGAAAGTTCTATCACTTTTAATATGCTGTTCCTTGCATTTTAAATTTTTGTGTGTGTGCTTTTCAGCTTTCACACATTTTAAAATGATACAGTAGTATATCAGTTATAATTGAGTGGCAATAAAAAATATTATTTCTCTCTTTGCTAGATGTATGGTATGCGTGAGTCAAAGCAAAGATTTGTAGGCTGTGGAGAGATAATTTAAAAGCATAATGGCTGCTAGTGCTTGCTTATGTTACTAACTTTGTTTTCTTTTCCCTTTTTTATATTTGTCATATAATTTTTACTGTGTGTTTTTCTCCTCTGAAAGCATTTCAGAAGACATCATAATCTACCACCTTGTCTTTTAGAAGATCATTAGTCACACAAATTGTCATTTAAGCTGAACTTTACATCTGATGAATTTTCTGTTTCATCCTGCAAGAAATGAGACTGAAAGTGGAAAGGGTCTTTATCCAAGACCAAGCCCAATTATGAGGGGCGCTGCAATGCCTGCCCAGCTGAAAGGATGCTCAAACACGTGGGGCCAGGGAGAAGTGTGCATCACAGCCAGGCCATTGCTGCACCCTCCAGTCTAACCTTTGAAAGGCTCCAGTGCCTCATCAAAGCCTATTTTAAAAAAGTAACAGACGCATGAACATTTTGAAAAATGAATATTAAGATCTAGAGTGTAAAAGGACAATCTGAGCCTGCAAGAGCAGGGCAGGGACCTTCCATCATGCACTGTTGCCTTGATATACCACTCAACATGGGTAATGACACTTGGATTTTAGAAAACTGAAATGTACACCTGCAGTCTTCAGCTATTATGATATCTTGTAAGAACCTTTCCTACGTTTCTGAAGTGACAGGTTCAGGCACAGACTGAAATGCAGAGAAGTCAGGCTGCACTATTTCCAGATGTATTATTAACACTCAAGCACAGTCCCCCCAGCCATACCAACAGAAGGTTCAACTGACAGATTTGGGGTTGAACAGCCCTTTCACTTTTCCCTTTCTCCTCATCTGACACGACATTGGCCAGCCTACACAGAGCAGCAGAGAGGGAAGGAGCAGCATCAGGCAGAAGCTGCTGATGGTTGCCCCTTGCTGCCCACATCCCCCAGGGCACGCCTCATAATCACAGCCATGTTCTGCACACAGGTTTGGTGCTGCAACATTATTCTCCATCTACAGAGCTCTGCTTCATGCAGTCTCATCTTCATACTTTTTTACTGCAGTTTTCCACATCTGAAGGCTCGCTGTAGGACAGAGCCATTTTTTGTGGCTGGAATCCTGTTTCACTCAGATTTGTTTCACATCAAGTCTCTTGTGTACAAGTCATTATAAAAAATGTTTGGTGGAAAAGTCATTTATAAACCATAAATAGAACTACTTAGTCCCTGGTTTTATCAGTGCAGACCAACACAGCTCTTAATTGCAAAACTGACCTGGTCCCAAAGCAAAGGCCAGCTGTGTCTAATCATCCAGGGGATGGACCAGAACACACCGAATAAAGGAAATGGAAAGTAACGCCAAAATGTTTTAAGATGTAAAATGACACAACGTTCAATGAACACTTGCCAACATCATCTCTAATTACTGCAGTGATTAAGTAGTAAAGAATTTGGTCCCAAGGGGATTGCAGTTCTGAAGGAAATATGGTGCCATGTGTTACAGAATTCTTTCTTGCAAATCATTATGGAAATCCTGCTTCCTCTGGTTCTCCTAACAAACTCTTTCTTTGCAAAAACCATGCTTCATTTGTGAAGTGCAGAGGGAGTGTAGCTTGCCTGCTTCTGAAGATTTATGTCTTTATTGCCATGTATTCAACTTGCCTTTTTAAAAAAATCCTTTTATGTCTCTAAAGAAAGAAGCATAGAAAGCATTATGTATTTGCATACTGTAAGGGTTCCTCTCATCCTTGCTGAAGAACAAACAGGGAAGCGGGGAGGGCTAGATAAAAGCATCGAGACCTTAACACAGCATGGCAATGGCCTAACAAACAGCCAGAGAAACTGCAATTAATGCAAGACCAGTTTCAAATCATAGTCCCAGGAGACACCTTAGAAGACCTTATTTAGAAGTACTTTCTTCTTTTTCATAATTCTATTAACCATGAGATCAAAATTTTTCGAGCTTAAAAAAACCGCAAAGCACAACAAAAAAACCTCAGGTTGAATAATAAAACCATTTGAATTGATTTTAATTTATGGCTTTAAACTTTCTGTAACTCTGGATCAAAATGTCTATTGTACAAGCAAAATACGTCTCTCACCATAGCATGCTCATGTTTATTGTGTTTTATTCTCTCAGCAGGTGTCCCCAGATGTAGGCTGTGTTGAGGTCTTTTCATTCAGCAAAGGAAGAGGAAAAAATTCCTTATCCTCTTGCAGATCTAGAATAGGAGACAAAGGACAGCAAAGGAATAACCATGGACCTCCTTCTGTTTTGTCCTGATTTTTTTTGCATCAGATCCATGTCTCTGCTGTCTACCTACCCTTTGCTATACAGAGTTTCCAAACATGCCATGGCATGTTCCACAAAGAAATATTTAGCTCTCACAAGGCACTTTTATCAGCACATCAAAGCAACACAATTATCCCCATTTCACTGGTGTGAAAACCAAGACCCAAACATGGTCTGTGTGGAATAGGCATGGCAGGAAATGGTGCTGTGTGCTCCCAGGCTATGAGTGCCAAACACACCCTTCTGTCTGCCATGCACAGAGAGAGGTCAAGGGAGAGGAGAAGGGGAGAGAGGCACTAGAATATAACAAACTGGGGTTTCAGCTTTCTGTTGTTCAAAGGAGCATATAGAATCAGTTGCAAAATATATAAAAGATCAACTGATCTCAGACAGAGGTCTTAGAGAAAAATCTAATGCATGGTTAAAGCGCAGTGAGAAATGGTGACCAGCATGGGCAGTTCCCAGCTGTCAGCTGTGCCCCAATAGCCCGGCTGTGCCTGCTGCTGGGAGGTGGTCAAATGGATCAGCAGAATGAAAAACAAAACCAGCTACAGTAGTAAATTAAAATGCTTCCTCTTGCTTCTTAGTAGAGATGAGGTTTAGCTGGAAAGGCAACAGATGCTCTGAATTTCAGTGTTTAAAATGAGACATTGAGACTCTTCCTTTTTAGCCAAGTTGTTACGAGTATGGGAGAAGATGCTCTTTTTTTTCCCTCAGCATTGAATAAGATGTTAAACTTAGTTTTCTAAGCTTGTTTCATGAATCATTCATGATCAAGTACAAATCCTCACAAACTCACAAGCTTCCTGGTCGAGAGCACTGAACCAGCAAGAAGACTGTTTAGGGAGATTTAATGGGGAATGCCAAAACAGTTAAAAATACGACTGGAAGGATCATAAGCAGTAGGTGAATTCATTGGACCACAACACTTATCTGTTGCTTCAGCCTCATTTGTACTATCAGCAATGCTGATAATAAAAGTGTTGCAGATTTTGCAAAGAACTTCAGATTCTCAAATTCTAGGTTTTTTCTATGCATCTGTAGTTGTTATTTCTGTGAAGGGCATCATGCCATCCTGCAGCACTTGTGACTCACTGAAATTCTTTTTTTGAGACTTAGCAGTATGAAGTTCTAAGTAAGTCATGCAGAGAAAAACACTCATTTTGGATAAAATAGATCAAATTGTGTTTACAGTGACCAAAAAACTTCCAATAAATATTGCCCCCACAAAATCTGACAAGACAACCAAATTTAGAGAGAAATAGATTAGCTGACTGGCAAATGTATTGAAGTAAGACATGTTTGGGAAGCACTGAAAGCAGAAGCCTTCATGCAGTTTTTCCTGTCCCCTTTTACACATTCACTCAACTCAGAAGGTGCACATTTCTCTGGCATCTGCTCCCATGACCTTGCTGAAGGAGGACACAAACAGAAGGAGGATGGGTCTAGCACAGGCATGCTAAGGGAAAAGGAAGGTTAAAAGGCCTTTTTTCCTTTTAAAGGAACAAAGAAAGTGTACCCTGCTTGTGAAATGTCCAGGTGAGGGTTAGGTTACAACAATGCTGCATCAACAGCGCAGCCAACATGGAGAGGATGGTCAGCCTTCAATGTCCCCTGGCAAGGAGAGCTGCCTCTCCAGGAAGGGATGCTCTTGCTCTCCTTGCGCCAAATTTTCCAGCACTGCCTCCCTAACTTCCAAACAATAGGTCTGGCTCCTTTTCCTCTTAGTCCCTATTGCCAGGGGTGGAGGTGGGGACATCACCCATCAGCAAGCATAGTGGTGACCCTCAGCTGATGATCTGGGAAATGAACACGCACATTCACAGGCCCCTAATTCCTCAGGGCTGGAAACCTCTAGTACCCAAATTCTTCTACGTCTATCTAACTTCTGGTTGAACTATCTCCAAACCAGACCAGTGCTTCCTGGCAGCTCCATAGCAAGCTTCCAGAGGCACCAGTCTGCAATTACCTGTCAGAATTATGACAAGAGACCAGGAGTGGCAGTCTGCCACCTCTGTCACTCACCAAAAAAGGAGACTGGATAGAGCCTTCGGTCATGATTCTTCAAGTCCTATAACACCTGCATGATGTTATCAAAACACAGAACTATTGTAATCAGAGACCTCACCTACAGCATTTTCAAACAAACTGAGTACACACAAAATGCAATGAGAAACTAATTAGACTCTTCTGCAGCTTGCTAGTTCATATTTTTGTTTGAAGCTTAGGTGCAGTGGAAAGATGTGTTAAAAATGCTGATAGGCTAAGCTTGAATTTTTTAAAAGAAAATAACTGTGCTCTTAAAAAAGGCATCAAATCATTAATTTATCTTAAATATCAGCTGTTTCTGTTTTCTATTAAAACAGCTCTGGCTTTTTTTTTTACTGCATTAAAAGAAAATCAGGAGGTTTTAATGTGTTAGGCTTATGCTAACACACAAAAAAACCAAATAACATGGTTCCTAAACTGTTCTAAATTGCATTTGAAAAGAAATGTACATAAACTTTCACCTTTTTGAAAGAGTAAAAATCTATGTATTGCCTTGAAAAGGGCACTAAATGGCCCCTGCATTTAGAACTGGATGGCAAACTCTTTTACTGCTGTGTCTGCTGGCCTTTGCTATGGTGTCAAGCATCAGCCTTAGTGGCATTGCAATTTCCCTTCTGGAAACAAGTTGGTATTTGTGGACCATATTACACTGAATGAAAATTGCAGTCTCTGATGCCTGCTAGTGGGACATTTGTTACATGCTCTGTTTTGAATGTAGTAATACATATTTCTGTGTGGCACTGCTTCTTCTAAAGATTAAAAACCTCTTAGTCCTTTGAGACTTGTGTCAGCATCCGATTTCATGTGCACGGTAATCTTTAAATATTAATGTGGGGCAAGGTCATACTCTGTTTAACCCCCAAAACGGAGTTAGTAAATCATGATCTGGCAGTAAAAATATACAGGGCACATCAGTATTTGTTTAGGGCAAAATCTAAATTTAAATTAAACTAAATTGGCTACTGGTATTTTTATAATCACATATACATAACATCTTATTTGTGGGTGGGGGGGAAGTTTGGATATTCTATGAAGCAGTAGTTGAAATATATTTATCAAGATATTAATAAAATCTCTGCCGTTGACAACGGAGAAAGAATGTCTGAAATACCAGTTAGATAAACCTATAGTGGGAATTCTGAAGCTCTTGAGGCAAATCTGCAGCTGTCAGATCCTCTGTTGACTGCAGCAGAATGAGTCAGTTTACACCAGATGAGCAGAAGCCTTTTGGGCTCTCCTCTAAGCTGAACCACTGATTTATGGCACGACACTGGCAGTCTCTTTGACCCCTTTATATGCCATCCGTCCTGCTAAGGAGCAGGGGAGGGGGGAGTGCTGGACCTTCCTGGAAACCAGGTGACAGACCCAAATAGACTTTCCCTAGGCAAAATAAAACATTTCAGAGTTAAATTTCTTGAGAGAGGCTGATGGGTTAGCTTTGTAATTCTCGATACATTACCATTACATGTTTTCCGGAGCTCAGCTCCCACTGCAGCTGAGGTTCATGCCACACATAACTAACCACATTTGTTTTGCTGCCAGGGGACCTCCCTTGCTACAGAGATGGGGAATGGCTTTAGCCTACAAAAGAGAGCCAGTTGAACTTTGCAAGGAGTCACTATTGTGAGCCTGTGACCTTTCATATGAAGTACTTAGAGGGCAATAGAGAGGTAGCAGAGTCTGGGGACAGAGTCTTCACCTAAGCATTGGGAAATAAAGGGAGACAAATAATTTAAATTTAAAAATACCACAAATGCACTTGTTAAATAGACAGCGAATGTGTGATTCTCATTTAGAGCAGAAAACAGAGTAGTTCAGGTTCAGCATTAGTGATTTGAACTACCAAACAGGCAAGATTTTCCTTACAGAAACATCTGAGACAAAAGGTGATCATAAATAATCAGCTAAAGTAGCTCTATTTTGCTCTTTGCTTTGCTTCCTAAAGTTGCCAATTATTTTAAATTATGTATATAAATTTTGTGATGTGGACTGTTATGTCCATTGGGAGATGTGCTCAGGCTTTTAAACCCATTTCCTCTGGCCCTTTTACTTTGGTCTGAGCCCAAAAGTGTTTTATGGGCCTGACTGGTAGAGGTAATGGGAGTCCATGGATGGGGTCATGCAGGCTGCATTACACCAGACACAAGTCAGACATACAGAAGTGTGCAGAACAGACTTGGAGTCTCCAAGGTGCAGCAGAAGCACCAGAGTCTCTAACACTACAGAGTGATTTAAGCACTGTTTAAATCAGCCTGTGTCACATTTTGGGGCAGGTTCCTCAGTCAGAAAGGCTGAGGTTCAGCAGGGAAGATCCTCCCAGAACATTACCCTGATTTTATGCGGTAGCTCCAGTCTGAGGTCCATGAATGCTCAGGAATCTGTGGATCCATTCTGAAGGCTCTGCAGAGGTAGGGAGGTATTTTCAGTAGGCTTATTTTGCAATGCAGATATCCACACTTCCACCAAAATCCACGGATTACAAAGTTTGATTTAAGACTTTGCTCCCACATATAACAATTTGATACTAATACTTTGCAGTCCCTTTTTCACAGATAAATTTTATCAACAGGTTCAGAACACTTTTCCAGTGCTCACTAAGCAGCCTCTCCTGCTAAAAGCTCACTGAAGCTTTTGTAGTATTTAAAATTGTGTGAAAATTCAATCCTGCCTGATTATCCTGAGGCATTATTCATGTAAATCAGACTCTAAACAGAAAAAGATCTTACTCTGAGGAGGATGAAGAAGCAAAATCACAAGACAAGGGGCAATGAGAACACCAAAAAAGAAGCAGATTACTTGACAAAATAAAAGACCGAGGAAGGAGAAGGAGAGGGAGGAAAGGCAGGACAGAAAAGAAGCAAATCTAGAAATTAGCCTGTAAGAGTAGAAAGTCACATTAATTCTCTCTGCACCATCTCGTTTAGCTTGGAACACAGCAAGGACAAGGGCTCCAAATGCTGCCCAGGTGTGGTGGTGACAGCTGTGAGGTGACACCTGGCAGCCAACACCCCTTGGTCCCCAGGCAGCCCTGTGGGAGCTCTGCACCCGTGTGGCTCCTGAGGCAGGGACCAGACCCTGCAAAATGCCACTCGTGTGACTAGTAAAAAAAAAACAACCAAGAACTAAGCACAAACAAAAAACACGACTGAAGGCAAAACAGGTAAGTGCCCTGCTCAGAAAAGGCTTAACTGCCAAACATAAATCTCAAACATATCCTTCAGCACAACCTGTGTAGTCCCTAGAAGGCACAGAGCAGTCAGAGAGGGAGGAAACCTGGAAAATCCTGGTTTTTCAAGACAGCAGAATAGAGCTTTCAGGGTGCTCATTTCAGCCAAATAAAGGATTATTTGCTCTGGCAAATAATTTGATTGTACAGCCCCTTCTAGAGAGTGAACAGAATGTCAGCAGCACAAGGAGTCACCATTCCCAAGGGCATCAGTCTGATGGCTGCTTCAGTACCCTGGTGTTTTTAGACACACACACAGAAAAAATGATCCCTGAGACGTCAGACAGGCCAATGGCCAGGACAGAAAAGAAACTGCAGACAGCCAGTCTGGGGCTGGTATCATCTGCAGAAGTGCTCAGAAGCAAAACCTGCTTTCAGGAGAAGGATTCTGGCTTGTCAAGAGCAGAATTAATGACAAAGAAACAGCAATTAGCATGATTTTAAATATTCCTCTAAAATACGCTATAAATCGTTTTGCCCTTGGGAGAGCCAGAACAAAAGATGAGCATAAAACTGCAGGCAAAATGCAAAAGTCTCCATCTCACTGTGCAGGCAGATGGAGTTATTTAGTAAATCCTCTACAGTCTTCTCTCAGCTATAAGGAAAAGAGGGGGAAAAAAAGCTGCCCAAAGTTTCAGTCAATATTTACCTCTTGGGTTAATAAATTGTGATCCTGACCTCAACAAAAGTCAATATCTTCTGATTATTATACTCAGGCACCTTTTTATTTGTACTCACTCATTGTATAATGAGTCACCCGTTTCCACTGGCAACTTCACTTTCATTTTGAATGTCTGAATTGAACAATTATTTATACTCCAAAGGCATAAGACAAAATTACTATAAACTAGAGCAGTAAAATGTGGACATAGGTTGCTATTTCCAGTGAATGAGCAAGCTTGGGCAGGGGGCGGGCAGAAGGGATCAAGGATTAAGTACAAAAAATAGCTGGTTTAAATCCTCTTTTAAATACCTCTGAGTGACAAGGAGCAGAGAGAGGGAAGCCCTGAACTGTGATATTAAATACAATTAGGCTGCAAGCATGGCAGGAAAGAAAAGGCAACAATCTGGCCGGAATAGTAAACTTATTTTAAGGGAACATTAGTAGGCTTTCTCCCTGAAATAAGCAAAGCAACCCCAGAAAATAAATGCCAAGGGCAACATGTATAAATTCACTCACTTTGCAAGCTAAGGCACAAAGACAGATCTGAACATAAGTCACCACACACTTGCTGCTTCATTAAAGGTGGACTAGGCCAGAGCTGGAGGGAGAAAATTCAGGGTGTTATTCTCATAATTATGTAATGTTTTATATAATACCACAGGTGTGCACTGTGCTTTCCTGAAAGAAATCAAAGCACTGCCTCCCCCAGCAAGATCAAGAATCAGCTAGAATCACATTTTGCTCTTCAACTTCTCATTGTTTGAACATCCCCCACTGACTATAATAAAAGCGTTCTTTGGGCTTACAAGGCTTGTGATACTGGAAAGATTTTCACCCACATAACCCACTAATTCCATCTCTTTTTTAAAAAGTAACTTTACCACTTAAGTTTGTCTGGCTCGACATCATTCTACTATTAATCCCACTTTGGCAAACAGTGGTGAGAGCAGCACATCTCTAGCTTAAACACACTAATTTCTGAAGAGTGAAAAATCAGAAGGAGCAAATCAATCATGATCTGGCTATCTTTGTGAACACTAATAAGCCCCATATACATCACCCTAGCATGTTTCTTCTAAAAACCACATTCTAGATAAGCATGGCCCTGTTCTGACACCATATTACCTTGTATTGCAAACAAAAATTAGTTCAGTATGACCAAAGAAGACAAAGGTGTATTTATGGGAAAATGAGAGCAGAAGCAACATTTTCAAACTAGAAAAGAAGATGTCATTTTCAGATGGGGCATTCAACCCAATGCTTATTGGTTGAATATGTATTTTTGGATTATCTCACAATACTGTGCTTAAATAGCATATATTAAAAAAGGTGTATCTCATTCAGAAGCAGCAGAATTTGCCAGCACAAGCTTTAGGAAATGGATGTCATCATAAACAGATTTGCCCTTCAACTTCACAAATCCAGCTTCCAATTCACTTGCTATAAGCACATTTTAAATAGAGACCAGCAATGTTTTTTTAGACAGCTCATACACCAAGAAGCAGGTGATTTTCTAAAATAAAATTACATAAAAACTGAATTTAAAAAAATCTCCTCACAAGAAGAAGCCACAAGCCAGAGCCTGACCATGCTGAAGCTCAATGTATTACGCATCCATTTTATGCTCACAGATCTACTCCTACTAAATTCAGATGTTTTTCACCATTAACTTACTTGAGATCCTTTATTTCCATCTAATGAGCTTTATCAGCAACTGCCACCATTACCACACTGGTGCCAACAAGCAGACATGCTAATTCATGTGCCATTAAACAGCATGCATATCCATAGGGGAAGGCTGGAAGCTGTCTTGGGAATGGAAATGAATGAAGTTTCAGTAGGTTTGAATAAATCTGTGGGCACTTTGTAGCTATAGAAGATTTTCATCTATAGCCTTTATAATAGCTTAGAAATGGCAACTGATTTAAATGCATCAGCATCTACAGACAGAAACTGCAGTAAGATGGGCAAAGTACAGCCAGATGCTGTGGTTTCTCAAAGCACACTTCCAGGGACGTGTGTGCTTTTGAAAAACACAATTTCCTTCATATACTATAGAGACAGTGTTGAAGTACATCATCTTATAGTGAATGAAAAGCCTCAGAAAAAGCACAAAAATCATTAGATTTGGTTGATGGTGATTGGAGCCCAAGGTACTTTGAGCCAAACTTCTTCATAGCAACCTTCTCTCGCTAAACTCAAACATCAACTCAAACAGAGTAATTTACTTAATTGTGATGAAATAAGCAAAAATGTCCCAGTCTGCTTGTCCATATTGGGTAAGAGTGCAAGCTGAGCTTCTCACTGCTGTTTGGGAGGGAGGCCACTGCACTGTGTTCCACTACCGGCATCCCCAGGCAGATGCACTCCTGATGCACCGTGAGCACAAAGGTCACTCCACATTACAGAGGAAAATGTAGCTATGACATATTTAGGGATTACAAAATATTTTTTTCTGTATTTTTACTCTTAAAGGACAAAAGTCAAAGGACCAAAAGAAATTGTCAGCCTTGCGGAAAGCTAAGGCCTCAGGACACAGTTTTAGTTAGAGAAACAGAGCTTATCTGCCTGCATATTTTAAATGGGGCAAAATTGAGGATGAGACAATTACCCTTCCCTCCTACACATTTCCAGAACAGAAACTGCATAAACAGAGAGAAGAAATAGCATTCAATTCAAAACAAGTCTGTTTTTTTCAGCAGGTCATTTGGAAATACTGCTCTTGTGGGATGTACACTTCTCAAGGTCTCTTTCACCATACTGAGGCCTGACAGAAGAGCAGATAATTTCCATGATATTTCCATGAAGTTATACAGAGACAGCAGGAGAACTTCTCCAAGGAGGGGAAAGGTCCTGGCCATCAGCCACAGTGCAATTCCCAGCTCGGAATGCCACTGCAAGGGATGCCACCAGGCTGGGTGCACAGAAGGGAACTGAACAGAGGGTCAGCAGCAGGGAGAACCTCCCCAGGCAGCAGAGCAGAGCTGGGATCAGGGTTTGGCTGGGGTGGTTACTCCTCTCTGCCCCGTGCAGAGGGAAGAGCAGCGTGCTGCCCAGCACGGGCACTGGGCACAGCCAGGGCTGCACTGCCAGCCTGGGGCAGCCCCTGGGCGCTGACACAGGACACCAAATGGCTCCAGGACAAGGGTGCCAACCTGGGGTTTGTTCTCACATTCACAGCAAGACAGTGCAAAGAGCAGAGAAGATGTTTGATGCATTCATCATAGCCTGTGCTGTTAAAGAGATTCAGTGAGTCTCCTAAATTAGTACAAGTTCCTGAATCCTAGAGAAACATAAGAGGGTCTTGTGAACTAAGGAACGAGGCAGATGGTTTCTGCAATGGAAAGCAACAAATTATTTTTGTTAGAGGATTTTTGAGTTACTGAAGGATCATTTCTACTGGCAGTCAAGATACGAACAGATATAAATGTTATAAAACTGCAATTCAACATCTATTTCTTCAGTCAGTCACTCACTATAGAATGTATGTGATTTTAATTAATAAGTTTAATGTCTTCAGATGGATGGATTTCTCTTTACTTCTATGCTCTGTCTCCTCTTTATTTTTTCAAGCAATAACCTAAAATATAATGTACTGACCAGAGCATAATAGAACGGACTAAAATATAAAAATCATAAAAATCATACTTGTTTACAATACAAGGCATGGATTAATATTAGCCAGTGTTTGAAAGCACTGAAATAACATTTTCAGCCACCACCTTTATGATCAAGTAAATCCTAGCTTTATGCAGAAAATAATATTCAATAAGGAATACAATCTAAATCTTGAATTATATAAAAATCACAACACGTATTTTCTGTGCTCTTCTAAAATTCAATAAATAGTTCAATAGATCATCTTTATTCCTTTCACCCTTCTGGGGAAAAAATTATTCTTAGCCAAAGAGCTTGCAGGCCAAATTTCAATCTGAAAATAACATTTATAGCTGAGTTATAAAACAATGAGAATAAGGGTTTATGATGTGAAAGTTGATGCAGGCTTTACTGCTTTGGCATGATTGGTGAAGCTGTATTAAAAATAAATAAAATTTTTAAAAAGGCACGCACACACACACAAAAAAAAAAAAAATAAAACAAAAAAACCCCCCAACCAAACAAAAAAAACCACCAAAAAATCCCCCAAAACCTCCCTCCAGGCATTTTTCTCCTGTGACTACATAAAAGAACTGTATGCTATCATGGCCGTATAAATCTAAAGCCTTAAACCACTCCACCCTTATTATCTCTTCCAAAAGAAAAATGTTTATAATAATACATATATTGACTTCAGCTTTTTGTTCAATAACAAGATTTACTGCCCCACTCTTCAGTCAATTGTAACCTCTTTGGGTCAACAAATCTCGATACTGATCTCAATAGAAGTCAATACCTGCTTATTACTCACCTCCGCATTTAGACACCTATCACAAATTCACATGGGCATCTTGGAAGCAGAAATTAATACTTTCTGCTTCATTTTAATACAAAATAGACTTATGTGCTTTTCCCACAGTCATTTTTAAAGCCATGAGATGATGCTGTGTTTTTGGAAAACAATATTATACATTAATTTCTGGAACTAAAGAGCTAAAGCTGTTTAGCTTCTCTGATGTTTCTATAAAAATTCACAGACCAACCTTCTTGCAGTTCCTATTTTTTCCCACATAAAATGTAAATCATCAATCTGATACTTTGTCCTTACCAAGTGAGAAAGGCAAATAATAGTAAAATTGAAAAGCTAGTTGCAAGTAATAATACACAAACTAATGTCTCAGAAGTTCAACAAAGAAATGCACTAATCACTTCCTTGGTTGCATTTGTGTAATGCTAACAGAAAAAATGAGCCTGAAAATCATTATCATGCCTGCATTTGTATATGAATTCAGCCTGTACTTTCAGAGTCAACCTTTGTATCATCTATTTGGTACCTAGAGTGCCAAACATTTACTATGAAAGGAAAATTGAATCAGATTTTGTGTCTTATACATGAACAGATCAAATGGGTATCTATTTACCCAGCAATCCAAAGGCTTGTATAAGAATCTTATCACAGAGTTGGACAATGAGAAATGCATTTTAATATACTGTCTCATTCGACTCAGTCTTGGAAATTTTGTTTACTTACATCAAGCATGTAAATAGAGAGGAATTCATTTTAATTCAGAATAGAAACTGAGAAAGTATTGGTACAGAAGTCTTGAACACATGAGGAGGAAATGTCAGAAGTTGTGTTCAAAAAAGCCTTCAGAAGTGTCTGAAGCCCCTGCAAGAAACATCACTGTACTGGTCCTTCCTAGTTGTACATGCAGTACAATACTGCTTGTGTCAAACACAGCAGACAACAGATGGAGCAATGACCCTAACCCTGAATAACAATATTTTTTTCTCTTGTCTTGAAATTTTCATTTCACAACATCACAAATGGCAATGAGAGTATTTATGCTTCAATCGATGGAAAGATGGCAAGGATGGAAGGACAGAAGTAAAATAAAAACTAGGAAAAGTGTGTGTTGAAGATGTAAATACAAAATAAATGTTTAAGTTTTCCATTTTAGCTGAGCCAGTGCAATTCACATAACACCATGAAAGGCTGGC